GGACTAGACCAGACTGAACCAGGACTGAACCAGGACTGAACCAGGACTAGACCAGGACTGAACCAGGACTAGACCAAGACTAGACCAGGACTTTTATTTCGAGACTTTTGTTCAAATCATATTTTTTGTTTTCAGATGATGAAATGTGCAAACTTCTGTCCAGAGGAAAAAGATTTTGAGTCTTGTTGTGGTTCAGTCTGGGTCCTGACCTGGTCTAGACCTGGTCTGGACCCGGTTCAGACCCGGTTCCGACCTGGTTCAGACCCGGTCCCAGACCCGTCAGGTCCATGCTGATCTTTGGAGTCCAGACGATGGGAAACGGTTCAATCAGACCAAGAGCTGAAGATCTCAACCACGACCCAGGTCCAAGGTCAGGACTAAACCAGGACTAAACCAGGACTAAACCAGGACTGAACCAGGACTGAACCAGGACTAAACCAGGACTAAACCAGGACGAAACCAGGACTGAACCAGGACTAACCAGGACTAAACCAGGACTAAACCAGGACGAAACCAGGACTGAACCAGGACTGAACCAGGACTAAACCAGGACTAAACCAGAAACCAGGACTAAACTAAACAGGACTGAACCAGGACTGAAACCAGGACTAAACCAGGACTAAACCAGGACTGAAACCAGGACTGAACCAGGACTGAAACCAGGACTGAACCAGGGACTAAACCAGGACTGAACCAGGACTAAACCAGGACTAAACCAGGACTGAACCAGGACTAAACCAGGACTAAACCAGGACTGAACCAGGACTGAACCAGGACTGAACCAGGTCTAAATCCGGTCTGTTGCTCAGTCTTCTGAGGAGGCGTGTACTGGAGCTGGAGCTCGAGCTGCGTCAGAAGGACCAGGACTTCAGGACTCGTTTGGACCAACTCCAAAAAGAACTGGACTCGAAAACCTCCCAGATCCACAAACTCCAGGACGCGCTGGGACACCACCAGGGCAGCCAGGTGAGACCAGGACTGAACCAGGACTAGACCAGAACCAGAACAAGGACCAGATCCAGACCCGGGCCAGACTGAACCCGACTGAGTCAGACTAAACCCCTGTCCTAACCAGGACCAAAGCCAGACTAAACCTGGAATAGAAGGACTAAACTCAGTCTAAACTCAGTCTAAACCTGGTCTAAACCTGGTCTAAACCAGGTCTAAATCAGGTTTAAACCTGGTCTAAACCAGGACTAAACCAGGTCTAAATCAGGTTTAAACTTGGTCTAAAGTTGGCCTAAACCAGGTCTAAAGTGGGTCTAAACCAGGTCTAAACCAGGTCTAAACCAGGTCTAAACCAGGTCTAAACCAGGTCTAAACCAGGTCTAAAGTGGGTCTGTTCTCCTCAGGACTCGTTCCCGCGGCGGCGGGTGTTCAGTGCCATTCATCGCGCTCAGAGCAGTTTCCAGCAGGTGGCGCTGGAGGTTCAGCGCCGACTCAGGGCCAAAGACGGAGTCTCCGCTGAACCCACCTCTGAGTCCTTCTGTGGACCCAGGACCGGACCAGAGACCGGACCAGAGACCGGACCAGAGACCGGACCAGAGACCGGACCTGGAGCCAGGACTCGGGGATCGACCAGAGCGACGCACAAAGACCCACAGTGAGTCTGAGTTTGTGAAAGTGAAAACCTCAGCAGGTCCTCACAAGTCTCCAGACGAACTCAGGTCAGGAGGTTCTGCTCAGGTCAGGAGGTTCTGCTCAGGTCAGGAGGTTCTGTTCAGGTCAGGAGGTTCTGCTCAGGTCAGGAGTCACATTTATGAGGAACGTTCCAACAGCAGAACAAACGGATCATAAACGTGGAAATAAACACAGAGTAAAAAGTGTTGTGTTCAAATCAACTCTGACAGAGTCAGTTTGAACATTTCCTCAGAGTTTCTCTGAGTCACTCTGTTCTAGAGTTAATTTAACATTTGTGTAAAAGTTCATGAAGTAAAACTGGACCAAAGTTCCTGTTTAACCCAAACCCAGAGTTAAATGAAGGTTTAGAGAGTAAACAGATAACACTTTGTAGAGTTATCCTGATTTAACTCAACAACACACAGAGGAGTTTTATTTTCACACTTTGAGTTAATTTAAGATGAAATTCAGAACAAAACTGGTTCAAACTGGTTCAAACTGGAGGGAGTTTGAAGTGCAGGAGACAAATTAACACTAAGAGGAGTTGATGAACTCCCATTTAACTTTCAAATAGTTAAAATAACACTTTTTGTGTTCTCGTCCTCGTCTGTCGGCGCCGTCGTTTTTGTTTTGGTCGTTTGGAGCTTCAGCTTGGCTCCGCCCACAACACAACGCTGCTCTGTGATTGGTGCGTCGCTCGCTGAGACACAGAGGAAGTTCTGCAGATGTTCTCCAGCTCTGGGTGAAGTTATGACAGGACCAGACTCAGGTCAGACTCAGGTCAGGCTCAGGTCAGACTCAGGTCAGGCTCAGGTCAGACTCAGGTCAGACTCAGGTCAGGCTCAGGTCAGGCTCAGGTCAGACTCAGGTCAGGCTCAGGTCAGGCTCAGGTCAGGCTCAGGTCAGGTCAGGTCAGGTCAGGTCAGGTCTCAGGTCAGACTCAGGTCAGACTCAGGTCAGACTCAGGTCAGGCTCAGGTCAGGCTCAGGTCAGGCTCAGGTCAGACTCAGGTCAGGCTCAGGTCAGACTCAGGTCAGGCTCAGGCTCAGGTCAGGCTCAGACTCAGGTCAGGCTCAGGTCAGGCTCAGGTCAGACTTCAGGTCAGGTCAGGCTCAGGTCAGACTCAGGTCAGGCTCAGGTCAGACTCAGGTCAGACTCAGGTCAGGCTCAGGTCAGGCTCAGGTCAGGTCCTGCTGCTCCTCTTGACACCATCTGGAAAAAAAAAAACAGAAAATCTAAATCAGGTGAAAGAAAAACAGGAAAAACTCTCCAGAGATAAAAGATGTTTCCTGTTTTTATTACTGCAGATTTCTGTATTTTAAAAGAATTAATTCAAATTATTTCTGTGGAAACAAACGACATAAAAACTTTTAGTGAAAATCTGTTTCTGAAACTTTATAACGCGCTGAGTTGTAGAAACATTTAGGGTTTTTTGTGTTTTTGGGGCTGAAATCTTCACATTGTTTCGTGACTTTTGACTTCATATTTGAGTAAAAACATTATAATTCTAACGTTATAATCAGAGGATGTAAAAGTGGGAGGGAGTTTCCCGTGAGGCCTGTGGGGGGCGCCGCTCTGAGCCGCGTCAGTTACATCAGTTCATTATTAAAACAAACTCAGACTGAATCACAAAGAGACTTTTCACATTCTAATGAGAAACATCTGCATGAAAACAAAGAAGAAGATCTGCACCTTTCATCTGACGCTCTGAAGTGGAGATCAGGAGGAGCACGAGGAGACAGGAGACACGAGAGAGGAGGAGGAAGGAGGACAGAGGAAAGGAGGAGGAGGAGGAGGAGGAGGAGGACAGGAGGAGGAAGGAGGAGACAAGAGGAGGAGGAGGAAGGAGGAGGACAGAGGAGGAAGGAGAGACAGGAGGAGGAAGGAGGAGACAAGAAGAGGAAGGAGGAGGAAGGAGACAAGAGGAAGGAGGAGACAGGAGGAGGAAGGAGGAGGACAAGAGGAGGAGAGAGAGGAGAAAGAGGAGGAAGGAGGAGAGACAAGAGGAGGAAGGAGGAGACAGGAGGAGGAAGGAGGAGACAAGAGGAGGAAGGAGGAGACAAGAGGAGAAGAGGAGACAAGAGGAGGAAGGAGGAGACAAGAGGAGGAAGGAGGAGACAAGAGGAGGAAGGAGGAGGAAGGAGACAAGAGGAAGGAGGAGACAAGAGGAGGAAGGAGGAGACAAGAGGAGGAAGGAGGAGACAAGAGGAGGAAAGGAGGAGGACAAGGAGGAGGAAGGAGGAGAAGGAGGAGGAGGAGACAAGAGGAGGACAGAGGAGACAAGGAGGAGAAGGAGGAGACAAGAGGAGGAAGGAGGAGACAGAGGAGGAAGGAGGAGAGAGGAGGAGAGGAGACAAGAGGAGGAGGAGGAGGACAGGAGGAAGAGGAGGAGACAGAGGAGGAAGGAGGAGAGACAAGAGGAAGGAAGGAGGAGACAAGAGGAGGGAAGGAGGAGACAAGGAGGAGGAAGGAGGAGACAAGAGGAGGAGAGGAGAGGAGGACAAGAGGAGGAAGAGAGGAGGAGGAAGAGGAGGAGGAGGAGGAGGACAAGAGGAGGAAGAGAGGAGGACAGGAGGAGGAAGGAGGAGACAAGAGGAGGAGGAGAGAGGAGGAGAGGAGACAAGAGGAGGAGGAAGGAGGAGACAGGAGAGGAAGGAGAGAGGAGGAGACAGGAGGAGGAAGGAGGAGACAAGAGGAGAAGGAGGAGACAAGAGAGAGGAGGAGACAAGAAGGAGGAGGAGGAGACAAGGAGGAGGAAGGAGAGAGACAAGAGAGGAGGAGGAGGAGAGACAGGAGGAGGAGGAGGAGGAGGAGGAAGGAGGAGACAGGAGGAAGGAGGAGGACAGGAGGAGGAGAAGAGGAGAGGAGGACAAGGAGGAGGAAGGAGGAGACAGGAGGAGGGTGGTTTGGTGGTGGGTGGAGGTTCTCGTGGGTTTGTTGTTCTCCTGGTCACATGTTCTCCGTTCTCCGTGAAGAACGTGCCTGATGATCACGGAGGCTCTGCTCCTGTCGGGTGGTGGTTGGTTGGTGGTGGGTGGAGGTTCTCGTGGGTCTGGGGTTCTCCTGGTCACATGTTCTCCGTTCTTCCGTAGAACGTGCCTGATGATCACAGAGGCTCTGCTGCAGAACGACTTCCTGAAGGAGCTGGAGCTGAGTGTTCTTCAGGAGATCAGTGAGAACATGTACCAGAGCGAGTACAGCGCCGAGCAGACGGTCGTCCAGGAGGGGGCGCCAGGAGGTTCCTCTACGTACTCACTGGTACTACACACTACTACTACTACTACTACTGCACTGCATACTACTGCATACTACTACTGCATACTACTACTACTGCTACTACTACTACTACTGCTACTACTACTGCATACTACTGTATACTACTACTACTACTACTGCTACTACTACTACTACTACTACTACTACTACTACTGCATACTACTGCATACTACTACTACTACTACTACTACTACTACTACTACTGCATACTACTACTACTACTGCATACTACTACTACTACTACTGCTGCTACTACTTCTACTACTACTACTACTACTACTACTACTACTACTACTACTACTACTACTACATACTACTACTACATACTACTACTACTACTACTACTATACTACTACACTACTACTACTACTACTACTACATACTACTGCATACTACTGCATACTACTACATACTACTACTACTACTACTACTACTACTACTACTACTACTACTACTACTACTACTACTACTACTACTACTACTACTACTGCTACTACTACTACTACTACTACTACTACTACTACTGCATACTACTGCATACTACTACTACTGCATACTACTGCATACTACTGCATACTACTACTACTACTACTACTACTACTACTGCATACTACTACTACTACTACTACTACTATTACTACTACTACTACTACTGCATACTACTACTGGTACTACACACTATTGCATACTACTGCATACGACTACTGCTACTACTACTACTACTGATACTACTGATACTGATACTACTACCACTACTACTACTACTATACACTACTGCATACTGCATACTACTGCTACTGCTACTACTACAGTACACTAAGTTGTTTTCTGACCTTGTGTTGATGTAAAATGATATTTATATAATAATAATAATAGTATGACTCTGTGCTCTTATACACACAGTATTTTATAGAGTTTCTATCTGTGTGTGTGTGTGTGTGTGTGTGTGTGTGTGTGTGTGTGTGTTGTGTGTGTGTGTGTGTGTGTGTGTGTGTGTGTGTGTGTGTGTGTGTGTGTGTGTGTGTGTGTGTGTTGTGTGTGTGTGTGTGTGTGTGTGTGTGTGTGTGTTGTGTGTGTGTGTGTGTGTGTGTGTGTGTGTGTGTGTTGTGTGGTGTTGTGTGTGGTGTGTGTGTGTGTTGTGTTGTGTGTGTGTGTGTGTGTGTGTGTGTGTGTGTGTGTGTGTGTGTGTGTGTGTGTGTGCTGTGTGTGTGTGTGTGTGTGTGTGTGTGTGTGTGTGTGTTGTGTGTGTGTGTGTGTGTGTGTGTGTGTGTGTGTGTGTGTGTGTGTGTGTGTGTGTGTGTGTGTGTGTGTGTGTGTGTGTGTGTGTGTGTGTGTGTGTGTGTGTGTGTGTGTGTTGTGTGTGTGTGTGTGTGTGTGTGTGTGTGTGTGTGTGTGTGTGTGTGTGTGTGTGTGTGTGTGTGTGTGTGTGTGTGTGTGTGTGTGTGTGTGTGTGTGTGTGTGTGTGTGTGTGTGTGTGTGTGTTGTGTGTGTGTGTGTGTGTGTGTGTGTGTGTGTGTGTGTGTGTGTGTGTGTGTGTGTGTGTGTGTGTGTGTGTGTGTGTGTGTGTGTGTGTGTGTGTGTGTGTGTGTGTGTGTGTGTGTGTGTGTGTGTGTGTGTTGTGTTGTGTGTGTGTGTGTGTGTGTGTGTGTGTGTGTGTGTGTGTGTTGTGTGTGTGTGTGTGTGTGTGTGTGTGTGTGTGTGTGTGTGTGTGTGTGTGTGTGTGTGTGTGTGTGTGTGTGTGTGTGTGTGTGTGTGTGTGTGTGTGTGTGTGTGTGTGTGTGTGTGTGTGTGTGTGTGTGTGTGTGTGTGTGTGTGTGTGTGTGTGTGTGTGTGTGTGTGTGTGTGTGTGTGTGTGTGTGTGTGTGTGTGTGGTGTGTGTGTGTGTGTGTGTGTGTTGTGTGTGTGGTGTGTTGTGTGTGTGTGTGTGTGTGTGTGTTGTGTGTGTGTGTGTGTGTTGTGTGTGTGTTGTGTGTGTGTGTGTGTGTGTGTGTGTGTGTGTGTGTGTGTGTGTGTGTGTGTGTGTGTGTGTTGTGTGTGTGTGTGTGTGTGTGGTGTGTGTGTGTGTGTGTGTGTGTGTGTGTGTGTGTGTGTTGTGTGTGTTGTGTGTGTGTGTGTGTGTGTGTGTGTGTGTGTGTGTGTGTGTGTGTGTGTGTGTGTGTGTGTGTGTGTGTGTGTGTGTGTGTGTGTGTGTGTGTGTGTGTGTGTGTGTGTTGTGTGTGTGTGTGTGTGTGTGTGTGTGTGTGTGTGTGTGTGTGTGTGTGTGTGTGTGTGTGTGTGTGTGTGTGTGTGTGTGTGTGTGTGTGTGTGTGTGTGTGTGTGTTGTGTGTGTGTGTGTGTGTGTGTGTGTGTGTGTGTGTGTGTGTGTGTGTGTTGTGTGTGTTGTGTGTGTGTGTGTATGTGTGTTGTGTGTGTGTATGTGTGTGTGTGTGTGTTGTGTGTGTGTGTGTGTGTGTGTGTGTGTGTGTGTGTGTGTGTGTGTTGTGTGTGTGTGTGTGTGTGTTGTGTGTGTGTGTGTGTGTGTGTGTGTGTGTGTGTGTGTGTGTGTGTGTGTGTGTGTGTGTGTGTGTGTGTGTGTGTGTGTTGTGTGTGTGTGTGTGTGTGTGTGTGTGTGTGTGTGTGTGTGTGTGTGTGTGTGTGTGTGTGTGTGTGTGTGTGTGTGTGTGTGTGTGTGTGTGTGTGTGTGTGTGTGTGTGTGTGTGTGGTGTGTGTGTGTGTGTGTGTGTGTGTGTGTGTGTGTGTGTGTGTGTGTGTGTGTGTGTGTGTGTGTGTGTGTGTGTGTGTGTGTGTGTGTGTGTGTGTGTGTGTGTGTGTGTGTGTCGTGTGTGTGTGTTGTGTGTGTGTGTTGTGTGTGTTGTGTGTGTGTGTGTGTTGTGTGTGTGTGTGTGTGTGTGTGTGTGTGTGTGTGTGTGTGTGTGTGTGTGTGTGTGTGTGTGTGTGTGTGTGTGTGTGTGTGTGTGTGTGTGTGTGTGTGTGTGTGTGTGTGTGTGTGTGTTGTGTGTGTGTGTGTGTGTGTGTTGTGTGTGTGTGTGTGTGTGTGTGTGTGTGTGTGTGTGTGTGTGTGTGTGTGTGTGTGTGTGTTGTGTGTGTGTGTGTGTGTGGTGTGTGTGTGTGTGTGTGTGTGTGTATGTGTGTGTGTGTGTGTGTGTGTGTGTGTGTGTGTGTGTGTGTGTGTGTGTGTGTGTGTGTTGTGTGTGTGTGTGTTGTGTGTGTGTGTGTTGTGTGTGTGTGTGTGTGTGTGTGTGTGTGTGTGTGTGTGTGTGTGTGTGTGTGTGTGTGTGTGTGTGTGTTGTGTGTGTGTGTGTGTGTGTGTGTGTGTGTGTGTGTTGTGTGTGTGTGTGTGTGTGTGTGTGTGTGTGTGTGTGTGTGTGTGTGTGTGTGTGTGTGTGTGTGTGTGTGTGTGTGTGTGTGTGTGTGTGTGTGTGTGTGTGTGTGTGTGTGTGTGTGTGTGTGTGTGTGTGTGTGTGTGTGTGTGTGTGTGTGTGTGTGTGTGTGTGTGTGTGTGTGTGTGTGTGTGTGTGTGTGGTGTGTGTGTGTGTGTGTGTGTGTGTGTGTGTGTGTGTGTGTGTGTGTGTGTGTGTGTGTGTGTGTGTGTGTGTGTGTGTGTGTGTGTGTGTGTGTGTGTGTTGTGTGTTGTGTGTGTGTGTGTGTGTGTGTGTGTGTGATGTGTGTGCTGTGAGGGAGTTCTTGCAGTGGAACAGTCTGGTCGATTTCTGGGGCAGATGTTTCCAGCGACGGCGTTTGGAGAACTCGCCATTTTATACAACTGTAAAAGAACCGCCACAGTCAAAGGTACAACATATATATACATACATACATATACATACATATAAAAAAAAAAAATGTGTTTCTCACCTTCCACGGTGGTTGGTCTCTCACCCTCATTCAGCTCAGGTCGTCTACCAGAGGCCTGGGAGCTTGAGAGTTCTGCGCAGTATCTTTGCTGTTCCCAGTGCTGCACTTTTCTGGACTGAGATGTTCCGTTGTTTTTCCCGGTATCTGTTGTAGTTTCTTCCAGTTTGGGGGTTACAGCCCCGAGTGTCCGATCACCACAGGCACCACTGATGCCTTTACTTTCCAGGCTCTCTCCAGCTCTTCCTTGAGCCCCTGGTATTTCTCTAGCTTCTCGTGTTCCTTTTTCCTGATATTACCATCGCTTGGTATTGCGATGTTCCACCACCACGGCTCTGCTCTGTTTCTTATCCACCACCACTATGTCTGGTTGGTTCATCTCCATCCTGTCAGTCTGTATCTGAAGTCCCACAGGATCTTGGCTCGGTCATTCTCCACAACCTTTGGAGGTGTTTCCCACCTTGATCCTGGGGTTTCCAGCCCGTACTCTGCACAGATGTTTCTGTACACTCTGCCCGCCACTTGGTTATGTCGCTCCATGTTTGTTTCCCTGCCAGCATCTTACACCCCGCAGTTATGTGCTGGACTGTCTCAGGAGCCTCTTTGCACAGTCTACACCGTGGGTCTTGTCTGGTGTGGTAGATCTGGGCCTCTATTGCTCGAGTGCCCAGGTCCTGCTCCTGAGCAGCCAGGATCAGTGCCTCTGTGCTGTCCTTCAGACCAGCCCTCTCAAGCCATTGGTAGGATTTCTTGATATCAGCCACTTCAGTTATGTTCTGGTGGTTTGCCCCATGTAGGGGTTTGTCCTGCCATGATGGTCCCTCCAGCACCTCTTCCTCTGGACTCCCACTGTCTGAGACATTCTCTGAGCACCTCATCTGCCGGGCCTTGTCCTTGATGTTCTCAAGGAGCTTGGATGTTTCATCCTGGACAGTGGTTCTCACACTCACTAGTCCTCGGCCTCCTTCCTTCCGGCCTGCGTACAGTCTCAGGGTGCTGGATTTGGGATGAACCCTCCATGCAGGTCAGGAGCTTTCGTGTCTTAACATCTGTGGTCTGTATCTCCTCCTTTGGCCAGCTTACAATCCATATATATATATATATATATATATATATATATATATATATATATATATATATATATATATATATATATATATATATATATATATATACACATTATATATATACACACTACACAGTCTCATTTCACACTAGATTCATTTATACATGTGTTTGTGTGTGAGACCCTGACCTGGACCTGGACCTGGACCTGGACTGGACTTGGGTCAGAGACTCTGGGACCAGGGGGAGCAGAAACAAAACTGTGGTTGTGTCCTTTGGCAAAACACTTCACAAATATAATCTAGAGTGTGAGTGTGTGAGTCTGTCCCAGGGCAACTGTGACTACAAGAGTTTACACCACAGATCTGGACTCTGGTCTTAGACCTGGTCTCTGGTCTTAGTCTCCTGGTCTCTGGTCTTAGTCCTGGTCTCTGGTCTCTGGTCTCTGGTCTTAGTCCTGGTCTCTGGTCTTAGTCCTGGTCTCTGGTCTCTGGTCTTAGTCCTGGTCTCTGGTCTTAGTCCTGGTCTCTGGTCTGGTTTCAGTCTGGTCTTAGTCCTGGTCTCTGGTCTCTGGTCTTAGTCCTGGTCTCTGGTCTTGGTCTCTGGTCTCTGGTCTTAGTCTGGTCTCTGGTCTCTGGTCTCTGGTCTTAGTCCTGGTCTCTGGTCTGGTTTCAGTCTGGTCTTAGTCCTGGTCTCTGGTCTCTGGTCTTAGTCCTGGTCTCTGGTCTCTGGTCTTAGTCCTGGTCTCTGGTCTTAGTCCTGGTCTCTGGTCTCTGGTCTTAGTCCTGGTCTCTGGTCTTAGTCCTGGTCTCTGGTCTCTGGTCTTAGTCCTGGTCTCTGGTCTCTGGTCTAGTCCTGGTCTCTGGTCTCTGGTCTTAGTCCTGGTCTCTGGTCTTAGTCCTGGTCTCTGGTCTCTGGTCTTAGTCCTGGTCTCTGGTCTGGTCTTTCAGCCGTGTCTCAGTCTCTGGTCTGGGCTTTGGACCGTCTGAGTTTTCAGTCCATCGTGAGGAGGACGACTCAGCAGCGCCACCTGGAGCACTGCAGCTTCCTGCGCAGGTAAAGACCAGACACCTGCCTGCACCTGCCTGCACCTGTCTGCACCTGTCTGCACCTGTCTGCACCTGTCTCACGCTCCTGTCTCCCTCAGTGTGTCTCTCCTGAAGGACCTGCCTGAGGACATGTTGTCTCGGATCGCAGACTGTCTCCAGGAGGTGAGGGACGCTCTGATTGGCTGTTCTCTGATTCCCTCCTCTCTGATTGGCTGTTCTCTGTGTGCTGCCTCTCTCTGATTGGCTGTTCTCTGTGTGCTGCTCGCTGATTGGCTGTTCTCTGTGTGCTGCTCTCTGATTGGCTGCCTGCAGGATCACTACGACAGGGGGGAGTACATCATCCGTGAGGGGGAGGAGGGGGACACCTTCTTCATCATCGCCAAAGGACAGGTGAGATCTGACAGGTGAGGTCTGACAGGTGAGGTCTGACAGGTGAGGTCTGACAGGTGAGGTCTGACAGGTCTGACAGGTCTGACAGGTGAGGTCTGACAGGTGAGATCTGACAGGTGAGGTCTGACAGGTCTGACAGGTGAGGTCTGACAGGTGAGGTCTGACAGGTCTGACAGGTGAGGTCTGACAGGTGAGGTCTGACAGGTGAGATCTGACAGGTGAGGTCTGACAGGTGAGGTCTGACAGGTCTGACAGGTGAGGTCTGACAGGTCTGACAGGTGAGGTCTGACAGGTGAGCTCTGACAGGTGAGGTCTGACAGGTCTGACAGGTGAGGTCTGACAGGTGAGATCTGACAGGTGAGGTCTGACAGGTCTGACAGGTGAGGTCTGACAGGTGAGCTCTGACAGGTGAGGTCTGACAGGTCTGACAGGTGAGGTCTGACAGGTGAGCTCTGACAGGTGAGGTCTGACAGGTCTGACAGGTGAGGTCTGACAGGTGAGGTCTGACAGGTCAGGTGAGGTCTGACAGGTGAGGTCTGACAGGTGAGGTCTGACAGGTGACAGGTGAGGTCTGACAGGTCTGACAGGTGAGGTCTGACAGGTCTGACAGGTGAGGTTCTGACAGGTGAGGTCTGACAGGTGAGGTCTGACAGGTGAGAGTCTGACAGGTCTGACAGGTCTGACAGGTGAGATCTGACAGGTGAGGTCTGACAGGTGAGTCTGACAGGTCTGACAGGTGAGGTCTGACAGGTGACTGAGGTCAGGTGAGGTCTGACAGGTGAGGTCTGACAGGTCTGACAGGTGAGATCTGACAGGTGAGATCTGACAGGTGAGGTCTGACAGGTGAGATCTGACAGGTCTGACAGGTGAGGTCTGACAGGTGAGGTCTGACAGGTCTGACAGGTGAGGCAGTTTGTGGGACCTGAGGTGTTCCCAGTCCAGTCCAGAGACATGGTCCCTCCAGTGTGTCCTGGGTCTCCTCCTCCTCCTGCTGGGACATGAACACCTCCTGAGGGACACGTCCAGGAGACGTCAGAACAGACGTCCTCCCCTCAGACGCTCCTCTCCACGTGGAGGAGCAGCGGCTCTACTCCGAGCTCCCACCTCTGTGTCTAAGGGAGACGCCCGAACCAAACCCAGACTCAACTCCTCTTCACCACAACCACCCAGACAGAGACCACTGCACCTGTCCACCTGTCAATCTGCCCACGCTGCACCTGTCCACCTGTCAGTCTGCCCACGCTGCACCTGTCCACCTGTCAATCTGCCCACGCTGCACCTGTCCACCTGTCAATCTGCCCACGCTGCACCTGTCACTGTCCACCTGTCAATCTGCCCACGCTGCACCTGTCCACCTGTCAGTCTCTCGCTCCGTCCTCCCGTCACTCGAGAACAAAACCCCGACACTTGAGGCAGAGATTCTCCATCCGCCCGGAGACAAGACGACTTTTTCCAGAACCACAACCTTTTTTTTTTTTTTGGAGGATCTGATCTTCATCCCAGACGCTTCACACTCGGGTCAAACCGTCCCAGAGCTGCAGGTCCTGGTCTGGAGCTGCAGGTCCTGGTCTGGAGCTGAGGTTCTGTTCTGTGTCCAGGTGTTGGTGACTCAGAGCTCTGAGGGCTTCACCGAACCTCAGGAGATAAAAACTCTGTCCACAGGAGAATATTTCGGAGAAAAAGCTCTCATCAGGTACTGTCCTCCTCTGTCCTCTGTCCTCTGTCCTCTGTCCTCTGTCCTCTGTCCTCTGTCCTCTGTCCTCCTCTGTCCTCTGTCCTCTGTCCTCTGTCCTCCTCTGTCCTCTGTCCTCTGTCCTCTGTCCTCTGTCCTCTGTCCTCCTCTGTCCTCTGTCCTCTGTCCTCTCTGTCCTCTGTCCTCTGTCCTCTGTCCTCTGTCCTCTGTCCTCTGTCCTCTGTCCTCTGTCTCTCTGTCCTCTGTCCTCCTCTGTCCTCTGTCCTCTGTCCTCTGTCCTCTGTCCTCTGTCCTCTGTCCTCTGTCCTCTCTCTGTCCTCTCTGTCCTCTGTCCTCTGTCCTCTCTGTCCTCTGTCCTCTGTCCTCTGTCCTCTGTCCTCTGTCCTCTGTCCTCCTGTCCTCTGTCCTCTGTCCTCTGTCCTCCTCTGTCCTCTGTCCTCTGTCCTCTGTCCTCTGTCCTCTGTCCTCTGTCCTCTGTCCTCTGTCCTCTCCTCTGTCCTCTGTCCTCTCTGTCCTCTGTCCTCTGTCCTCTGTCCTCTGTCCTCTGTCCTCTCTGTCCTCTGTCCTCCTCTGTCCTCTGTCCTCTGTCCTCCTCTGTCCTCTGTCCTCTGTCCTCTGTCCTCTGTCCTCTGTCCTCTTCTGTCCATGATGTTCTCAGTTCTTCTTGTGTCTCTGTTGCAGTGAGGACGTTCGTTCTGCAAATGTGATCTGTGCAGAAAACGACACACACTGTCTCGTCCTGGACCGAGAGTGAGACCCAGACCAGGACTAAACCAGGACTGGACAGGACTAAACCAGGACTAAACCAGGACTAAACCAGGACTAGACCAGGACTGGACCAGGACTAAACCAGGACTAAACCAGGACTAAACCAGGACTGGACCAGGACTAGACCAGGACTGGACCAGGACTGGACCAGGACTAAACCAGGACTGGACCAGGACTAAACCAGGTCTGTGTCTGGTCTTGGTCCAGGAGCTTCACTCAGATGGTCGGGAGGCTGGAGGAGCTTCAGGAGAATCTGAGGAGCTACGTGGAAGAACTGTTCCTGAACGACCAGAGGAGGAACAAGAGGTGAACAGCACAACACAACACACACACACACACACACACACACACACACACACACACACACACACACACACACACACACACACACACACACACACACACACACACACACACACACACACACACACACACACACACACACACACACACACACACACATGTGTGTGATCCTTTAGTTCTGCAGAAGATTCTTCCTCTTTACATTTGAAGAGTCCAAATTTATTTCCAGTAGTTGAAATTTTTCTAAATGTTGTGTTTAAGTTTGAGTGTTGTGTGTGTGTGTGTGTGTGTGTATGTGTGTGTGGTTGTGTGTGTGTGTGTGTGTGTGTGTATGTGTGTGGTTGTGTGTGTGTGTGTGTGTGTGTGTGTGTGTGTGTGTGTGTGGTTGTGTGTGTGTGTGTGTGTGGTTGTGTATGTGTGTGTATGTGTGTGTGTGTGTATGTGTGTGTGTGTGTGTGTGTGTGTGTGTGTATGTGTGTGGTGTGTGTGTGTATGTGTGTGTGTGTGTGTGTGTGTGTGTGTGATGTGTGTGTGTGTGTGTGTGTGATGTGTGTGTGTGTGTGTGTGTATGTGTGTGTGTGTGTGTGTGTGTGTGTATGTGTGTGTGTGTGTGTGTGTGTGTGTGTGTGTGTGTAGCAGATTCAACACAACATGATTCTCAGATCAGAACAAAAATCAAACATCACAGATCAAATCTTCATTTGTTTCTGTGAAAATTTGAGCTGATTTCAACAAAAACAAAATGACGTCACATTTTTCAGATCAAATAGTTTTTTTATAATAAAACTTATTCAGTTAATAAACACGACGACTAGAACATGGAGAAACATCTCAACACTCTCACTCCTCCTCCTCCTTTAGAGCCCAGAGTCCAGACCAGGACCTGGACCAGGACCAGGACCTGGACCCGGACGAGTCCTCAGACCTGCTCAGACTCAGAGACAAACTGGACCATCTCAGACCGGACCAGCCTCTGGACCAACTGCAGCTCATCGCCACACTGGGCATGGGCGGCTTCGGACGAGTGGAGCTGGTGAGGAGACAGGAGCAGGCAGGAGCAGGCAGGAGCAGGCAGGAGCAGACAGGAGCAAAGGAGAAGGTCAGAGGGTCAGAGGAGATGTTAGATGGAGCAACTGGGGCAGAGGAGCAGAGGAGATGTTCAGATGGAGCAGGTGGAGCAGATGGAGCAGGTGGAGCAGGTGGAGCAGGTGGAGGAGGTGGAGCAGATGGAGCAGGTGGAGCAGGTGGAGCAGGTGGAGCAGGTGGAGCAGATGGAGCAGATGGAGCAGATGGAGCAGGTGGAGCAGGTGGAGCAGGTGGAGCAGGTGGAGCAGATGGAGCAGATGGAGCAGGTGGAGCAGGTGGAGCAGGTGGAGCAGATGGAGCAGGTGGAGCAGATGGAGCAGATGGAGCAGATGGAGCAGGTGGAGCAGATGGAGCAGGTGGAGCAGGTGGAGCAGATGGAGCAGGTGGAGCAGATGGAGCAGGTGGAGCAGGTGGAGCAGGTGGAGCAGATGGAGCAGATGGAGCAGGTGGAGCAGGTGGAGCAGGTGGAGCAGGTGGAGCAGGTGGAGCAGATGGAGCAGGTGGAGCAGGTGGAGCAGGTGGAGCAGATGGAGCAGATGGAGCAGGTGGAGCAGGTGGAGCAGGTGGAGCAGATGGAGGAGGTGGAGGAGGTGGAGCAGGTGGAGCAGGTGGAGCAGGTGGAGCAGGTGGAGCAGGTGGAGTGACTGCTCTGTGTTCAGGTGAAGCTGAAGGACGAGGAGAAGACCTTCGCTCTCAAATGCATCAAGAAACATCACGTGGTGGAGCACAAACAGCAGGAGCACGTCTTCTCCGAGAAGAACCTCCTACAGCAGATCAACTCCCCCTTCATCGTCAGGTCAGAAGACACCTGACACACACGGGGAGGGACCTGACACACACGGGGAGGGACCTGACACACACGAGGGGGGACCTGACACACACGGGGAGGGACCTGACACACACGGGGAGGGACCTGACACACACGGGGAGGGACCTGACACACACGAGGAGGACCTGACACACACGAGGAGGCGAGGAGGGACCTGACACACACGAGGAGGGACCTGACACACACGGGAGGGACCTGACACACACGGGGAGGGACCTGACACACACGGGGAGGGACCTGACACACACGAGGAGGGACCTGACACACACGAGGAGGGACCTGACACACACGGGGAGGGACCTGACACACACGGGGAGGGACCTGACACACACGGGGAGGGACCTGACACACACGGGGAGGGCACCTGACACACACGGGGAGGGCACCTGACACACACGGGGAGGGACCTGACACACACGGGAGGACCTGACACACACGGGAGGGACCTGACACACACGGGGAGGGACCTGACACACACGGGGAGGACCTGACACACACGGGGAGGGACCTGACACACTCGGGGAGGGACCTGACACACGGGGAGGAGGGGACCTGACACACACGGGAGGGACCTGACACACACGGGGAGGAGGGACCTGACACACACGGGGAGGGACCTGACACACACGGGGAGGGACCTGACACACACGGACCTGACACACACGGGAGGGACCTGACACACACGGGAGGGACTACACACACGGGGAGGGACCTGACACACACGGGGAGGACCTGACACACAACACACGGGGAGGGACCTGACACACACGAGGAGGGACCTGACACACACGGGGAGGGCCTGACACACCGGGGAGGGACCTGACACACACAAGGAGGGACCTGACCACACACGGGGAGGGACCTGACACACTCGAGGAGGGACCTGACACACACGGGGAGGGACCTGACACACACGGGGAGGGACCTGACACACATGGGGAGGGACCTGACACACACGGGGGCGTCTGGTGTCTGTGGTTCTGGTCAAACAGAGTCTCTGAGGATCTGCAGGAGGAATGTGCAAACACCAGGACAAAGAGAGAGAGAGGAGGGAAAGAGAGGAGGAGGAGAGAGGGAAAGAGAGGAGGATACTGGAAAGAAAGAGAGATGGAGAAAGAGACGAGTGACAAACAGAGAGAGGAGAAAGGGAGGAGAGAGAGGACAGAGAGAGAGGTAAACAGATGGAGACAGGGTGAAAAGAGAGAAACAGGGAGGTAGAGACAGAGGGTAAAGAGATGAGAGAGCAGGGAAAGAGAGGGAGAAGAGAGGGATGAAAGAGAAGAGGATACTGGAAAGAAAACAAGATACAGAAAGAGATGAGTGACAAACAGAGAGAGAGAGAGCGAGAGAGATGGGGGGATGAGGAGGAGAGAGGAGCAGCTCAGTTTCTTTAAAAGACACAAGTACTGCACTACCAAGTACTCTTCACATGTACTACCAAGTACTCTTCACATGTACTACCAAGTACTCTTCACATGTACTACCAAGTACTCTTCACATGTACTACACTACTAAGTACTCTTCACATGTACTACCAAGTACTCTTCACATGCACTACCAAGTACTCTTCACATGTACTACACTACTAAGTACTCATCACATGTACTACCAAGTACTCTTCACATGTACTACCAAGTACTCTTCACATGTACTACACTACTAAGTACTCATCACATGTACTACCAATTACTCTTCACAAGTACTACCAAGTACTCTTCACATGTATTATCAAGTACTCTTCACATGTACTACACTACTAAGTACTCATCACATGTACTACCAAGTACTCTTCACATGTACTACTACCAAGTACTCTTCACATGTACTACCAATTACTCTTCACAAGTACTACCAAGTACTCTTCACATGTATTATCAAGTACTCTTCACATGTACTACACTACTAGTATTCATCACATGCACTACCAAGTACTCTTCACATGTACTACACTACTAAGTACTCTTCACATGCACTACCAAGTACTCTTCACATGTGCTACCAAGTACTCTTCACATGTGCTACCAAGTACTCTTCACATGCACTACCAAGTACTTTTCACTTGTACTACACTACTAAGTACTCTTCACATGTGCTACTACAAGTACTCTTCACATGTGCTATCAAGTACTCTTCACATTACTACACTACTAAGTACTCATCACATGTACTACCAAGTACTCTTCACATGTACTATCAAGTACTCTTCACATGTACTACCAAGTACTCTTCACATGTACTACACTACTAAGTACTCATCACATGTACTACCAAGTACTCTTCACATGTACTATCAAGTACTCTTCACATGTACTACAAAGTACTCTTCACATGCACTACCAAGTACTCTTCACATGTACTACACTACTAAGTACTCTTCACATGTACTATCAAGTACTCTTCACATGCACTACCAAGTACTCTTCACATGCACTACCAAGTACTTTTCACTTGTACTACACTACTAAGTACTCATCACATGTACTATCAAGTACTCTCACATGTAGTATCAAGTACTCTTCACATGTACAAGTACTCTTCACATGTACTTACTCTTCACATGTACTACAAGTACTCTTCACATTACATGTACTACACTAAGTACTCTTCACATGTACTACCAAGTACTCTTCACATGTACTACCAAGTACTCTTCACATGTACTACCAAGTACTCTTCACATGTACTACACTACTAAGTACTCATCACATGTACTACCAAGTACTCTTCACATGTACTATCAAGTACTCTTCACATGTACTATCAAGTACTCTTCATATGTACTACACTACTAAGTACTATCATCACATGTACTATCAAAGTACTCTTCACATGTACTATCAAGTACTCTTCACATGCACTACCAAGTACTCTTCACATGTACTACCAAGTACTCTTCACATGTACTACCAAGTACTCTTCACATGTACTACACTACTAAGTACTCATCACATGTACTATCAAGTACTCTTCACATGTACTATCAAGTACTCTTCACATGCACTACCAAGTACTCTTCACATGTACTACACTACTAAGTACTCATCACATGTACTACCAAGTACTCTTCACATGTACTACACTACTAAGTACTCTTCACATGTACTACCAAGTACTCTTCACATGTACTACACTACTAAGTACTCATCACATGTACTACCAATTACTCTTCACATGTACTACACTACTAAGTACTCATCACATGTACTACCAAGTACTCTTCACATGTACTACACTATTAAGTACTCATCACATGTACTACCAATTACTCTTCACATGTACTACCAAGTACTCTTCACATGTACTACACTACTAAGTACTCATCACATGTACTACCAAGTACTCTTCACATGTACTACACTACTAAGTACTCTTCACATGTACTACCAAGTACTCTTCACATGTACTACCAAGTACTCTTCACATGTACTACCAAGTACTCTTCACATGTACTTGAGTGATCTCGAAGTAACTGTACGGTTGGTTCCGTTTGCCGGCACTCCAGAACACACTCAGTCCAGAAACACACTCTGGTCCAGAACACACTCTTGTACAGAACACACTCTGTCCAGAACACACTCTTGTACAGAACACACTCTGGTCCAGAACACACTCTTGTACAGAACACACTCTGGTCCAGAACACACTCTGGTCCAGAACACACTCTTGTACAGAACACACTCTTGTCCAGAACACACTCTGGGCCAGAACACACTCAGGTCCAGAACACACTCTTGTACAGAACACACTCTGGTCCAGAACACACTCAGGTCCAGAACACACTCTTGTGCACTCTTGTACAGAACACACTCTGGTCCAGAAACACACTCTTGTACAGAACACACTCTGGTCCAGAACACACTCAGGTCCAGAACACACTCTTGTACAGAACACACTCTTCCACACACAGAACCACTCTTGTACAGAACACACTCAGGTCCAGAACACACTCTGGTCCAGAACACACTCAGGTCCAGAACACACTCTGGTCCAGAACACACTCTGGTCTCGATGGAGTTGGATATGTAGGTGCAAGCAGGTTGTCACCCTCCATCAGAAAAATGTGATCCCTGAGGTTCTCTCATGTTCTTCAGGTTCTTCTGGTGTTTGTTCAGGTTCTTCAGGTTCTTCTGGTGTTTGTTCAGGTTTTTCAGGTTCTTCTCGTGTTTATTCAGGTTCTTCAGGTTCTTCTTGTGTTCCTTCAGGTTCTTCACATTCTTCTTGTGTTCCTTCAGATTCTTCAGGTTCTTCTTGTGTTCCTTCAGGTTCTTTCGGACTTTCCGGGATCAGAAGTTTGTGTATCTGCTGTTGGAGGCGTGTCTGGGAGGAGAGCTGTGGACCGTCCTCAGAGACATGTGAGTGCAGGGAATTTAACACACAAACCACAGTCCAGGTTTAGTCCTGCTTCAGTCCTGGTTTAATCCTGGTTCTTGTGTCTTCAGGGGTTCCTTTGATGAGTCCACGGCCCGGTTCTGTTGTGGTTGTGTTCTGGAGGCTCTCGAGTTCCTCCACAAGAAGAACATCATCTACAGAGACCTGAAACCAGAGAACCTGCTGCTGGACCAGGACGGGTACCTCAAACTGGTGAGAAGATCCTGAGGTCTGGTCACAGACGGTACAT